ATATAAAATCGAATGGGTCCAGTCCAGGAAATGCAACTTTGGTTGACTATCTAACGCTCAGGTCCTTGTTTTTATCCTCCCAACCGAATTTTCTACCCATACAGCAAGTGGGAAACCTGAGAGGAATGGGAAATACTGAATTCTTGGTACGCAAATGCAAATGGCTCAAGGACTTGTTCGCTGGGTGGGCGTTTCAGGGGGCCGGGCTTGGCGCAACGCCAGCCAGTTTCCCACCTTTTGTTGTGCCAGCTTCCGCGTTTGGTGAAACACTAGGTAGCTCTGCGTCAAACCGAGCTTTCCCCTCCCCTGACTGGAGCCTCCCCCTCCGTCTGCAGGGAACAAGACTGTAGCCTCCGCGCTAACACGCTTCCAGCGATAAAAACCGCCAACATTATGTGGCTATACTTAATGTCAGGTCCTTATTTTGCCCCCTCAGGCACGAAGGCAGTTGGACAGCTGCGGTAACTCTATCAAAAAACTTAACCTAGAATGTCCAGGGAATGTTTAGTCGCTGGAAAAATACCAGTTACGCATATTGGCTGCGGCAATGCTACTTCAATACGACCCATGCTCCTTTAGCTCAGAAGATCTGTGCGAACATATGATGGCGTCCTAAGGTGGCGCAAGCGCGTGCAATATGTCTATTGGTAGCGCTTAGGGTTACACCCGGTGAGGGTAAGCAATCTTTCGGAAGTCTACCTCATCCTCAACTGAAGTTCGTCCATCTAGTCGCATTTATTCTCCCAATTCCTTTAGAGTTGAGTTTTTCAACTCGCACCTCACAGCTCTTAAGATTCTTATGGGAGGTAGCGAAGTACGGTAGAGGAGGCTTAATAAAAGTAAAGTGACTTTCGATAGTTGTGTCTAGATGTTGCAGAAAGCTTATGAAATCTTCTTGCTTGTGGACCAAGATAGCTCACCGACGTGATTCGTGCCATTTATCATTTTCCCTGGGGTTTTTGAAAGCCCTTAATCACTCTCCGTAGGGTTTTTCGGAGCCCTCGGGAGCGACTGAGGAAAATTTCATTTCCGCGTGTGTGTACTGGACGAAATTGCAGGGTAATGGGAATCAAGCGATATGTGAGTTTTTAGCGAACAGCGTGAAGGGCATTGGAAAGTACGTGCAACGTAGGAACATTTTTCTTGACACCTTCAAAGTTGCGAACTTCAAAGGGGTCCAATTGTGAGACCCCGGCCCATATTTGGAGAGTTTAATTGATCCAGAAAAGCCTCGTATTTCAAAAGCAAGCGTGATTTGTTCATCTCTCCTTCCAGGAATCCTCGCCTTTCTAGGGCCTTCATATTTTCCGCTGCCCTTGAAGCTATCCCCGATATGAGCATGCTAATCCGTTCGCGCTTGTGTGATCTTTACCTATTGCACTGCTGTGAAGCCGCTTCAGAGTTGTCATAGTAACTAGCGCTATTATCCGATTGTACGACGCTCCATTATCGATATTATCAGCGGTGATATTGCCAGCCACCTCCGCTTAACAGCCACCTGATGGACATTCAAACTCACTCACGTTCACGTTCATTTCCGTCGTGAAAATACTCGTAACCAAGTGTAGTCGAACGAACTTCAGCGTCCAGGTTACGGCTTTCCTGAAATGAAGGAACAATCAAGGAAGGGCTGAGATCTCTTGGAAAAAATATGAAGATAGGTGGAGTGAGCCTGCAGGGAGTGGAAGAAAAGGCTTAGGCTTCCCCGTTTCTGCAGAATGTACGCCGTATGCTCTTGCCGGAAAGTTTGAGTGGGTCATATTTCCTAAAAAGATTCAACATTCATATACCACATGCCTGTCTAGAAGAGTAGCTCCGTTAAGGATTTCTCGACGAGAAGACTGTGTTTATTAGCGAGCGAGACGTCTCATAT